TCAGTCAGTCAGTCAGTCAGCTGTAGTTTATGCTGATCAGGTTTTATTGTGTTTGCCTCTCAGTCGTGTTCAGATCCAGTTTCAATGATTAAAATGTGGAATCAGTTTTTTCCTCCTGTTCTCACGACGCGTAAAGAAATCAGACTCAACCTGTCAGTTCTCCTCCCTAACTCCACCGGTTGAACCTGAAACCATCTAAGATCCGAGTTCAGCTCCCGCCGCTCTGTTTCCTGAACCTCAGCCTTTAGTTTGTCTCTTTTAATGGCTTGGAGTTTGTTTAGAGTCAGAAATAGGATGTTTGCTTGGACCAAATGAATGACCTCGGTGGTTATTGCTGCATCTGAACGATGACCCGCGCTGCTAACAGCAGATCCAGCTCAGAAAACGGTTGACATGTGACCGAGTTTCAGACGTATCTAAAAATACAATCACACACCGACCGCTTCCTGATCTTCCTGACTGAAGGCGTGCTGAAAGTTGCGTCCTGGAGGCAGGAGTTCCTGTGAACCTCTGAAAGCTTCAGGCAGTTCCCAGCTAAAAGAGACCAAAGTTCGCTGTTATCCCACACAGCCCTGCTTCCAGGGAAAACTAACCACCACCTGCCGCTAATGGGAAGCAACAATTAGCTCCTGTTTAAAAGTGAAAAGAGATTTTTATCTTCCTTCCATCAGAGGGAGAATGAACAGCATCTTCAAAAGCTGTATTTGTGTTAACTTTCACATGTCATTTTCACTTTTTATAAATATTTTACAAAGAAGCAAAACAGGAATATATAATGAACAATTTCATAGGAAAAGCAGCTTATAGAAAGGAGCAAACATTTCTTACAATCACTGTTTACTTTTAATTCAAGCAGATAAATGAGTGTTTTTGCCCTTAAGAGAAGAAAATTAGTAGGGCTGCTCAATATGTCGGCGTTAACATCGATAACAGCCATTGTTGGTCAGTTTGAAACATATCAATCATGTGACAGTGATGCAGCAAAGGATTATGGGTGTTAATCTAAAGTGCTGTCATGGTGTCAAAAAGTCGGGAATAAGTCGGCCGATCGATCAGCATCAATTTCCTTCACTTTGGCAGCTCAGAGTTTGAACAATGCTTGGATATTAACCAATCCTATCCTCTGTAAAGGTCTGAAATCTAAATCTATTAGTTTTATGCTCAGTTTTTCAGTGAGATCAGGTTGAGATATTGAAGGAGTCTGTGGTTCCTTAAAACTAACAGTGTTGGTTGTTAAAATAAATAAATATCAGAATCAGCATTTCAGGCTGATCGGCCAGAAACCTGCAATCGGTGCACCCCTGGTAGGCAGCCTACAGGACATGCAGCCATATTAAAATTATTAATAAATAAATAAAACTTTATTTTATTTTTTCAGTTTATTCAGATAGTATTTATTCAAAGGACCTTACAATAGATGAAAAAGTAGTAGTAGTCGATATTCAAAGATCAAAGTGATCAAAGATTTTTATATTTAAGATGTTTGAATTAAAGGAGAACAATTACAGTAGTTGAGCAACTTTTCACAAAAACTACATTCCCCATGTAAAACCATCTAACAATGAAAATCTAAGTGTTAGCAGGTAGTCAAAAAGATGAAAGTTTTGTACAAACCAAAAAAATAATAAGCAATGTCAGAGCTGATAAGCGAAACAGCAACCCTAAATCAACTTTCTAATGATGATTTAATATATAGTTTCATTAATTCCTTCCATTTAACATTTGATTTCATTTGACAATCAGCTATATATATATATATATATATATATAT